CAAGTATACCAGGGATTGTGGGGCTGGCGCGGGATCGGGCAGTGTTTCGTTCTGCTGTGCATGGGGTCGCTATGAGTCGGAAACGACTCGACGGCATTTAACAACAACAACAACAATGTGCCAGAAAGGAATAGAAGTCTTTGAAAGCATAATTTTCACTTGTTTCAGTAAAAGGCCACCCCTGATTATCTACAGATCATCCTTGTTCATTTTACAAATATAAAGTCTCATTTATCTTTGCACTCAATGCTTCAGTGCCCCACTCTCAGATATGTGTTTGGAAAGTGAAGTAATTTTCATATAGGCCCAAGAGAAGTCCAATTAGGAAGGTGAATTTGCAGAATTGTACAGAGGGAATCAAATGATAAAAATTACTTTTTAAAATCTATATAAATTAAAACAGTTTGCTTTATTTTAAAACAGTAACTTCTTTATATTGGACCACTGACCAAAACTCAATACTGATACAAATATAAATTTCTTAGGAAGTCAAAATATGTCAGGAAAATTGTCTGAATTTCTTTTTAAAGGCATGATTTTTAAACCATATAAAACAAACAAAACTTTACATCAATATATGTATAAAATGAGCTCCAGTTCAAATTCAAGTTGAATAACCAAACCATTATCATGGATATGAGTTGAGGTCAATTACCTCAACTAATTTTTGTTAATATTAAAAGAACATTGCACATATTTTCAATAACTTAAAAGTGAATGTTATCTACTTTTCTCATCTCTTGATTCCCCAGGAAGTATAATATTATTTTCTAGATTCTAATAATAAATCCAAATATTTACTCATGGTAGGAGATTCTGGCATTAACTACAGGTGAGTTTATCAGAAACAGAAAACCATGAAGATTTAGCATTTAAACATAGTCACTAAAGCAATTCCTTAGGAGCCTTAGATGAGAAAGGCAGTTCTCCACTTTCCAAGAATACCTAAAGGTTATATTGCATAATGTAATTCAAGAGAACAGCATTCTGACCAATGATAATTTATAGGAAATTCTTTCACCTATTTGATAATGTTTCTTTATAAAGGTAATATTTTGACCAATGTTAAAATGTTAGAACTCCATTATGCTAGTATTTCCAGAGTATTATTAACTTAGCACAAGTATAAATTACTTTTTGATGGTCTATATCACTATTCTTCTCATCTAGCATAGATTATTAATAGACTCTTAGCAACCCCATTGGGTTTCCCAGGAGGAAAATCTTTACTGAACTAGATTGCCCCATTTTCCTTCCACGGAGTGGCTGGTGGATTTGAACCACCAACCTTCTGGTTAGCAGTCAAATATCTTAGGCACTGTGCCACCAGAACTCCTCACATGGATTCTTGATAATGTCTAATTTTTGGAAAATGAACAAAATCTTAAATAAAAGTCAAACTTATTATATAAAATATTCCTGTGGCCACAGCTTTTGAGAATCCACCTACATACTTAATAACAAATTTTTACTGTTTTGGGATGCTCTGGTGGTACAGTGGTTAAGCACTTGGCTGCTAACCAGAAGCTCAGCAGTTTGAACCCAGGCACTCCGCGGAAGGAAGATGTGGCAGTCTGCTTCCATAAAAATGACAGCCTTGAAAACCCTATGGAAAAGTTCTAGGGTCACTATGCGTCAGAATTGACTTGACAGCAGTGGGTTTTTATGGGTGATTAACACTAGATTTTTGCTATGAGCAAATAGGTTAAAGCAAGAGGCACTTGAAATGTTGGCCACTAGAGGGTAGTTTCACCACAGTTCATAGAAGCTGCAGCCCAGTCGGTAACAGCATTTCTGAAACCAAATTGATTGCTGTGGAGTGGATTCCAACTCATGGCAACCTTATGGGACTGAGTAGACCTGTCTCATAGGGTTTGCAATGCTGTAAATCTACATTCAGAAGCAGACTGCCATCTTTCTCCCACAGAGCTGCTGGTGGGTTCAAACCTCTCACCTTTCACTTAGCAGCTGAGCACTTAACCACTTCACCGCCAGGGCTTCCCCCATAGCACTTACCAAGTTTTATTGACCTGGTTGTTGTTAGTCTCCATCGAGTTGACTCCAACTCATGGAAATTCCATGCACAAAGAGATCAGACCTTTGATCCATAAGTAAATTGCCAGCCCTTTTTTTCTAGCCTTTCGGATCCAACTCGACAGCAGTGAATGAGTGAGTGAGTGTCTTAGTCTGGAAGCTCTGCTGAAACCTGTCATGGCAACATGCAGCCTTCCACTGATAGATGGGTGGTTGCTGCATTTGAAGCACACTGGCTGGGAGTTGAACCTAGGTCTTCGACATGGAAAGCAAGAATTTTACCCCTGAACCACCCCTGTACCCCTATAGGCCTGGATACCATATTCTAAATGTATGAAAGCTTCCACAGCCCTCATTCCATAGTTAATACTTACTTTTCACACTGTTGTTGTTGTTGTTGTTGTTATGTGCCATCAAGTCGGACCCGACTCATAGCGACCCCTCCTTGGGTTTCCGAGGCAGTATCACTACGGAAGTAGATTGCCCCATCTTCCTTCTGAGGAGTGGCTGGTGGATTTGAACCACCAGCCTTCTGGTTAGCAGTAAGTGCCTTTTCACACTAATCTTTAGCATTTGATCCTATACTGATTTGCATTTTATTTAACTTCCCATGTGTATAAATCTTAGTTTCCCTCAAGAGCACAGTCTTTATCTTCTATTTCTTTATATCTCTCATAAACTGTATACAATATCATACAATGTCACAAAGTAAATTAAAGGGACTGCTAACCAGAAGGCTGGCAGTTCAAACCCACCAGCTACTCCTCGGAAGGAAGGTTGGACAATCTACTTCCATAATGATACCACCTCAGAAACCCAAGGAGGGGTTGCTATGAGTCTGGTCTGACTCAATGGCACATAACAACAACAACAACATGATTTATAATGGAATTAGCAGTTTATAGGTATACTTTACAATAAAACCTTTTAATCTGCTATACCTATTAAAATTTAGAAAATGCACATCCTTTGATCTAGCAATCCTACTTCTAGAAATATCACCTACAGGGATATTTGCACAACTATCTGAAGATAAAGATGCAAGAATTTTCACACTATAATATTGTCTATAATGGTATAAAACATTGGAAATAACCTAAACAGCTATGAGAATGTGAAACAATGAAATTAAATGTGGTGCATCCAGACCATAAAATATTATATAGCCATTAAAAAGAATCAGGTAACTTTATACGTACTTATGAAGGAGGCATAATATAAGTACACTAAAATGAAACAGTGACCAGTAGAAATAAATTGTGTGTGTGTGTATACAAAAACTTTGAAAGACAAATCTGGAATGATACACACCAAAGTATTATCAATGGTTATTCTAAAGGGCAAGTGTTGGCAAACTTTTTCCATGAAGGGTCAAATAATAAGTATTTGAGGCTTTGTGTGACATATAGTCTCAGATCCAACTAATCAATTCTTCCACTGTAAATTGATAGTAGCCATAGATAGTACATGAATGAATATGCATGGTTATGTCCCATTAAAAGGTTATTTATGGACACTGAAATGTGAACTATACATTTCAGTGTCCATAAATAGACTACATATAAATTTCATGTGTCACAATAAACTCTTAACTTGGTTTTATCAACCATTTCAAAATGTAACAATCATTTTTAGTTCATAGGCTGTACAAAAATATCCAGTGGCCCACAGACCATAATTTGCCAACTCCAGCCACTGAGGATGAAATTGGAGGGGTGACTTGGGGAACTTTCACCAAAAAAAAAAAGATTGGATTCTGTCGATTTTACTTTGTGTGTGTGTTTCTATTTTGCAGATAAAAACAATATCTAAAATATTAATAAAATAAGACTTTTGCCAAATTCCAGGCTTAGAACAAATATAACATCAAAGAAGTACAGTCCTTGTACGCACCTTTTCCTTTGACCTCACAGTGATCAGAGAGCTCCCAAACCTTGAGCTTGCCTGAAAAAACATATTGTCTGTTAATAGCCTTGTGAGAACTTAGCATAATAGTTTACCAGTTTAAAATGACCACTTCAGGAGGTACTTACTTCAGGAGAAATCAATACATATTGGGCCTGAAAGAAAAAAACATGAGAGGGAATGAAGATTATTAATGTTACTCGTGTTCATGTTTTTTAAAAAATCAATTTTATTTACACACTTACACTAGTGAGTGTGTATTTTTCAACATTTCCCATGTAGCCTTAAAAACTGCATGCCCTTTGACTCTATAAATGCCACTTCTAGGAATTTTGCTCAGAAAAAAAATTAGATGTTTATAAAAATGTTTATATGTAAATATTCACCATATCATTATTTAAATTCACTGCCATTAAATTGATTCTGACTCATAGCAACCACCATAGGGTTTCCAAGGCTGTAAATCTTTACAGAAGCAGACTGCCTCATCTTTCTTCTGCAGAGTGGCTGGTCAGTTCAAACTGCCAACTTTTTGGTTAACAGCCCAATACCTTAACCATAACATCACCAGAACTCTTATATCATTACTTAGGACTCTTTCAATTTTCACTATTCTTAGGCCACTTTCAATTTTCACTGTTATAAATATTATTATGTTTAGAATATTATTAATTAAATATTAATATTATTAATTTACTATTCTAAATGTTAGGAGCTCTGGTGGTGTAGTGCCTAAGGCATCTGACTGCTAACCAGAAGGCTGGTGGTTCAAATCCACCAGCCGTTCCTCAGAAGGAAGACTGGGCAATCTACTTCTGTAGTGATCACACACACACACACACACACACACACACACTGCCCTTGAGCCGGATCTGACTCAGACTCGTATCGACCCCTCCTTGGGTTTCCGAGGTGGTATCACTATGGAAGTAGATTGCCCATCCTTCCTTCTGAGGAGCAGCTGTTGGGTTTGAACCACCACCCTTCTGGTTAGCAGTTAAATGCCTTAGGTACTACACTACCATAGCTCCCTCCATAGTGATACCGCCTCAAAAACCCAAGGAGGGGTCACTATGAGTTGGATCTGACTCGATGGCAGTGAGTTATTCTAAATGTTATTTAGAATAGTGAAAATTGAAAGTGGCTTAAGTGGCTAATAATAATCACTTAAATAATGATTAAGTCATGTTTTGTCTCTAGATAACATACTTGGCAGCCAGTATTGTGTTGTATAAGAATTTAGGATGACATGGAAAAATGTTCTTGATATATTGTTAGACTAAAAAAAAAACAGGTTATAAAATTGAAAATATGATCATAATTGCTAATAAAAATATACACATACATAGTATAATGGTTAAGAGTCAGCTTTAGAATCAAATCTTGGTTCAACTCCTCAGTCTGCCATTTCTTACCAGTGTGCCCTTGAACAAATTACCTCTCTGATCTTCAATCTCTATCTATAAATGGGCATAATACCAACATATTAGCTTTGATGTGTAGAGTAAATGTATATAAACTGGTTGGCACAGTTCAAATGCACAATATTGTTGTTGTGTGCTGACAAGTCAATTCCAACTCACAGTGACCAGGACAGAATAAAACTGCCCCGTGGAGTTTCCAAGGCTGTAAATCTTTATGGAAGCAGACTGCCACATCTCTCTCCCATTGAGCAGCTGGTAGATTCAAATCACCAATCTTTCAGATAGCAATTGAGCACTTTACCCACTGCACCACCAAGGCTCCTTCAAATACACAATAAATGGTAGCAATTAAATTCATAGAAGAAAAAGTGCTAGAAGTATGTGCATCAAGAGGCTAGCAGGCATTATCTCTGCACAGTGGATTCTAGGTAGATGATTTTTAATTTTCTTCTTTGCACTTTGGTGTATTATCTAAAATTTTCACAATTAACTTTAAATTTGCAATTTAAAAAATAATCATTTTGTTTAAAAACAATAATGCCCCCCCTCCAAAAAATAATAATAGTGGCCAAGTGTTGTAGGCCCTGGAAACTGAAGAGATTGTATCTTAGAGAAGGAATAAAGCAAATAATGAAACAGGAAAGAAAAGAGTGGACACATTAATGAAACTCCTGTGGCTGTGGCCTGCTTCCTTTCTGCTGCGAGCTCCTAACCAAGCACTAGCAGGCTATGCTGAGGGACCAAAATGATGCCTCGTCCAACTAATGTTCTTTAATGATGGGGGTAAACACTGCAGAACTACAAGAACACAGGAGGCTCAGACCTACAAAACAAGGGTAAGTGATTGTGTCCTGAGCCCAGGACGCCCGAGTTCGGGTAAAAAGTACAAGAGGTTTACAGTGGATGTGATTTCATAAGGAATCAGCAGGTAGTGGTCCTTTCCCATATTGTGTAGAATTTTGTAGGATCATACTTTACCTTTTCTTCTGGACATGGGGTGAGCCATGATTTGCATTTGCCTGTCATGTCACCAAGGGTGGTATGTTTGCCATTATACACATAAACACGGCCATCTTCCCCTCCAATCAGTCCAGAGGTTATATCTGCTATCCTCAGTGGGGCTGCCATGATTATTTCATCTGTAGGCAGTAAGACACAGAAGAAAGTATATGATTACCGCTCACTGTCATCTTTTCCACTGTTCCACTGCTGGATCCTTAACCAACCTCCCACAAACAATATTAGCGTGTCCTTTAAAAAAATTATACTGATTTCACCCTGATAGAGTCAAAAACTTTTGTTTCCTATTTCATCATTCATCAGTAACAACTGACAGGGGCAACCCATGGAACAAAGGAACTGACGAGTCAATTCCATTCATAGTGACCAGGACAGAACAGAACTGCCCCATAGAGTTTCCAAGGCTGTAAATCTTCAAGGAAGCAGACTGCCTCATCTCTGAAGAGATGAAAAGAACAAAGGTTCCATGGATTTAGAGATTGTTGTTATTGTTCATTGCTGTCAAGTTGGCTATGACTCATGGCAGCTCTTACATTTTTAACAGAATGAAATGCTACCAGGTCCTGCTCCATTTTTACAATTATTGCACTGTTCAACTCCATTGTTGTGACCACAGTGTATTTTGAGTACCTTCCAACTGTATCAGAAAATGTTCTGTTGTGAGCAGAGTTTTCATTGGCTGATTTCCAGAAGTAGATCATCTTTTTTCCTAGTCTGTCTTAGGGTGGAAGCTCCACTGAAGCCTGTCCACCACAGAACTTGAAATACCAGAGGCAAAGCTTCCAACACCAGCGCAACACATAAGCCACCACAGTACAACAAACTGACCGATGGGTTGGCATAGGAGTACAAGAAACAAATGTTACCACCTTCAGTGTTAACTCCTGCTGGACATCCAGTTCTGCTATTATCTCATTCAAAATCTACATAAAGGCCCTTGGGCCACTGGGCCATTGATTATGAGGCAGAGCCTGGATGATCTAATTAAGAGACTGATCCATTGGTCAAAGGGACTCAACTCTAGTTGGGTAAAGGCACTGATCCTTTCCTACCTACACCATCATTATCCAGATCACTCAGGTGCAGAACTTCACCAAATCGAGAGAAGCGGCGGTCCCCACTGAAGGTGCTCAGCAGAGCAGGCTGTGCATCCCGTGTTATCGCATACATTCGAGCGGTTCCACCTTGGTGCAGGGTCATGGTCAGGAACGCCATTTTAGACACATCATCTGAAAAGAACCAAAGTGGTAGATCAGAAATACCTGTTAGCATCACAAGAACAAAGATAAGAGGTAAAGCACTGAGTAGAAATGGATTTCTTACTTCGTGCTTGTATACTACAAGGGATGCAGATCACTCAAAATCCTACTGGACAATCAGGTGTGTGCTAGTCATCTCTGGTTGTTAGGAAGGTACAACTAGCTTGTGCACCTAGACTCAAACATTGGATATAGTCAGTGATATCCAAGTCTTTCTTCCAGTCTTAACCCCTTCAGTGCATTTTCCATACAGCCATCTTTTTTACCCCCAACATCATAAATCTGCTATGCCTGTCTCCTGACTTACAGCCCTTTGAGTGATGTCCAAACTCCTGACAAGACCTTACTTAATTTGACTCCTATTTATGACTCTAGTGTTATTCAGGCCACTTCTCTGTTTTTGCCTACACTTTACTTACAATGAATGCAAACCACAGGTCATTATCTTTCTTAAATCTAGGCCTTTGAACATGATATCCTCTCTGGCTGCAATAGACAGCCCTTCTCCCACACTTGTCATTCTCCCCTGTGCCCAGATCTCAGCCAGCCCACTCCTGCTCATCCTGGAGGATTTGGCTCAGAGGCCACCTCTTCTCTGCATTGTTCCCTAACCAGATTGAATTGTGTCCCCAAAAAACATGTGTTGTAAATCCTAATACCTATGCGTGTGGTTATAAATCCATTTGGGAATAGGTTTTCATGGTTTTTATAAAGCCTGTATCAGTGTAGGGTGCATTTTAAGCCATTTGCCTTTGAAACATAAAAAGGGCAGATTAGGACAGAGGAGCAAGCAGTGATGGGAGTAGATAGACACCATGCTACATGAAGATCACCAAAGAGCCAAGGAATAAGGACCTTCTGCCAGAGCCGACAGAAAGAGAAACCTTCCCCTAGGGCCTGTGCCCATAATTGGACTTTAAGCCTCCTAACCTGTGAGAGAATAAATTTCTGTTTGTTAAAGCAACCACTAGATAACCAACTACACTCTGGTGGCATAGTGCCTAAGGCATTTGACTGCTAACCAGAAGGCTGGTGGCACAAACCCACCAGCCACTCCTCAGAGAGAAGACTGGACAATCTACTTCTGTAGAGATACCGCCTGGGAAACCCAAGGAGGGGTCTGCTATGAGTCGGATCCAACTCGATGGCAGTAAGTTTGGTTTTTTTGATTTTAGACAACCAACAGTGTCCCTCCCACGTGTTCCCATTAACATACTAAACCACTGCCATCAAGTCAATTCTGACTTAAAATGACCTATAACACATTAGTGCCAGCCTAATACTGACCACAGGGTAACATGATTCATTTGAGTGTCTCATGCATCAGGCTGTGAATTCTATAAGAAATGGAACCACACCTTAGTCCTTCTATATACTGTACCTAGCTTGGTTCAGCATACCAGTAACCAGTTGCCATGGAGGTGATTTCCATTAATGGTGACTTCATATGTGTCAGAGTAGAACTGTACTCTACAGTTATGTTTTTGTTTTAATTAATTAATTTATTTTTTGGTTACCATATACAGAGCACAACACACCAATTCAACAATTTCTACATGTACAATCAGTGACACTGATTACATTCATCAAATTGTTTAACTGTCCTAATTATTCCACAACCATTAACATAAACTTACTGCCCTCTAACTTCTCATTTAACCTTTCACGTTTCTGTTGTCAATTTGAAAGAGTACAGTGCTCAAGGCAGACACTGTTTGCTAATTAAGCTAAACAATTGTTTGGTTTCAAGAAAACTTCCCGGGATAGCTTAGATTTAAAGATTTTTTAAAGATAATCTTAGGGCAATAGTTTCAAGGGTTCAATCAGCCTCAAGCTCTATAAGGTTTTCATGCAAGTAGATCACCAGACCCTTCTGAGACACCTCTGGTTGGGAACAGACATCTAATTTTTTGGTTAGTGGCCAAACAGGTTAAGCATTTGCACCACACAGGGTCTCCAGGTTCAGCACAAGTGCTCAAGAAATGTTTTTTGAATGAATAAATCTTGAAAAAAAAAATCAAAGTAAAAATAGTTGTTACATTTTTTTTTTGCCTGTAAATTTTGTAAATTATGCATAACATTGAGAAGAATGGGAATTCCAGAACAGTTAATTGTGCTCATGAGGAACCTGTACATGGACCAGGAGGCTGTCATTTGAACAGAACAAAGGGATACTGCATGGTTTAAAATCAGGAAGGGAGTGTGTCAGGGTTGTATCCTTTCACCATACTTGTGGAATCTGTATGCTGAGCAAATATTCCAAGAATCTGGACTATATGAAAAAGAATGTGGCATCAGGATTGAAGGAAGACTCATTAACAACCTGAGATACAACTGAAAACACAACTTTGCTTGCTGATAGTGAGGGTGACTTGAAGCACTAGCTGATGAAGATTGAAGACTAAAGTCTGCAGTATGGATTACACCTCAATATATAAAAAAAAAAAAATGAAAACCAAACTCACTGCCATCAAGTCGTATCAGACTCACAGCAACCCCTCCTTGGGTTTCCAAGGCAGTATCACTACAGAAGAAGATTGCCCCATCTTCCTTCCAAGGAATGGCTGGTGGGTTTGAAAATCACCTCACATGCATATGAGAGCTGGATAATGAATAAGGAAGACCAAAGAAGAATTGATGCTTTTGAGTTGTGGTGTTGACGAAGAATACTGAAAGTACCATGGACTGCCCGAAAAACTAACAAATCTGTCCTGGAAGAAGTGCATGCAGCCAGAATGCTCCTTGGAAGCAAGAATGGCCAGACTTCATCTCACCTACTTTGGTCATGTTGTCAGTAGGGACCATTCCCTGCAGAAAGATATCATGCTTGGTAAAGTGGAGAGTCAATGAGAAATGGGAAGGCCTTCAACAAGATGGATTGACACAGTGGCTGCAACAATGGGCTCGGGTGTAGCAAAGACCATGAGGCTGGCACAGGACCGGGCAGTGTTTCATTCTGTTGTACATGGGGTTGCTATGAATCAAAGACAACTCAACAGTACTTAACAACAACAACAAATTTGTTTTCTGGAATACGGCCATGACTTCAGAGCTAGGTGTCTGCTCCATAAATAAGATAACGGCTTCTGTGGGGGTTTGTGGTCCTCTGAGCAGCTTACTCACAGGTAATGTCCAGGGATTTAATGCAATCTTGTATCAGCATCTACTTACTAATGCACTGCTGAGGAGTCAGCTCCAACTCATCGTAACCCCTCCTTGGATTTCCAAGGTGATATCACTACCGAAGTAGATTGCCCAACTTTCCTTTCAGGGAGTGGCTGGTCGGTTTGAACTGCCAGCCTTCTATTTAGCAGACAAATGCCTTAGGCACTATGCCACCAGAGTGCCTATCCGTTCTCTGCCCTGTTAATTAAGCAACTGGGGGCTCAAAACAGAGCTTACAATAGCAGTAAGAAAAAACAGTAAACAAGAAATAGTACTTTAAAAAGCTCAACAATTTGAGGCCCTTTAACATAAGGGTAAACAATCTGACCTAAATCGATATCCCCTAAGAAAATCAATGTTTTGATACAGTACAATAGTTAATATTCAGGATGACAGGCTGAAGTCATGAAGAAGAGTTTAAATAAGAGAAAATCTTTATTCCCTTCTTCTCATGCTACTTTAAGAGAAACTTGAGCTCCCTGGTTGTTGTTGTTGTTGTTATGTGCTGTCGAGTGGGACCTGACTCATAGCGACCCCTCCTTGGGTTTCTGAGGCGAGCTCCCTGTAGTGTCTGAAGATACCAAACCCAGTTGCTGTTGAGTCAATTCCAACTCTTGGCAACTGCATTTGTTACAGAGGAGAACTACTCCACAGAGTTTTCTGGGCTGTAATGAAGCAGACTGACAGTTTTTTCTTCTGTAGTGCCATTGGGTAGTTTGAACTCTAGGTTAGAAGATGAATGTAAACAATTTATACCACCTAGGGACCAGGGCTACAGTAACACTGAGCATTCTGTCCACTGCCCAGTGTTATTCCTTCCACGAGGAGGAAGAGGGATAAACAGGTTCCTCCCCTGGCTCTCCTTGCCAGCAGGACAGGCACATCATTTCAGGTCCTACTGCATATGTTAGCTCACATGGGACACAACCAGGTCTACCTTCTAGATGCAGGGCTAAGTCCACTCTCTTTGCCTCTTCTTCTGGGGTTGATGGGTGTATGTCTGCCAGGCAGACCCAAAGTCTCTGTCAGAGAGGTTATCCCAAGATCTAGATTTTGAGGGCAAGGATATTAGGAAGCCTGACTATACTACCCATCTAAACCATGTTCTCCAATCCAGCTAGATCAGTTTTCTAAAAGCACCTATTTTATTTATTATCTATTTGAATGAGTCATGAGTCTACTTCTCAAATGGTTTGAAAGACACAAGGGAGGGGGAGAGATGTGATTAATTACCACTCCCAAACCTTGACTACTCACCACAGCATACTCTACTATTGAAGTAGAAAAGAATATTATATAATTGAGAATAAATTCATCAAAAATTTTTTCATTCTCAGAATTTGAAAAGAAAGGATTTAGATATATTGAAAGATTCAGCCATTTCAATTTGTGTGTTTTGTAAGAATTTGCAGGTATATAGTAGAGGTGACAAGGGACAACATTGTAGTCACTTCTTAGCCACAGCCAGCTACCCCAAGGGAGGGAGTAGTTGGACCTGTGGGCTCAGGACCATGGTTGCAGGGGACATCAAGCTCAATTGGCATAACATACTACACAAAACATTGTTCCACAACCTACTTTGGCAAGTAGCGACTGCGATCTTAAAGCTTGCAAGCAGCCATCTAGATGCAACAATGGGTCTCTCCTTATCCAGAGCAAAGAAGAACAAAGAAAACCAAAGATGCATAGAAACAATTAGTCCAAGGAACTGGTTCACCATGCAATCCTCAGCCTATACAACTACAAGACCAGAAGAACCAGATGGTTCCCAGCTATCACTGTCAACCACTTGGAGGGGGATCTATGTGGGAGATACTGGATAGACTGGGAGAACAATGTGGAACAAAACTCAAAGTCATAAAAAAAAAAAAGGGAGGGGGGTTGTGGACCAGGTTTGCTGGCCTGATAGAGCCTGGTGGAACCCCTGAGACTAAGGTCCCTGGCTACTCTTCAGGTCTGGAACTGGACTCACTCCTGTAGCTTCCAGCCAAATAAAAGACAGGCATATGAGCTGAACATTTACATTTGGTAGATACACTTCTTAGAGAGATCAATCATGGGAGAATAGAAGGGCTGTGTATGCACAGAGAGACAGCTTGGAGGGCAGGAGTACATGGGAGGGAAGGACACAGGGAAGAGGTGGCTATGGGGGGAAAGTGGGAGGGGAGCTGCTGCATTATGGGAGACTGCAGTCAAGATCATGAGACAAGGTGTATGTGAACTGCTGTATGGAAGACGAATTTGCTCTGTAAATTTTCACCCAAATCACAATAAAACTAAAAAAAAAGTTTCAGCCATTTCAAAGCAGCTCATTCCCCTGATGATGCAAATTGAACAGTGGATTATTGTACACATTTTAGACAATTAAGAAAAAAACAAGTCTTCAGATCCTATAACTTTCATCCTATTTGACATAGTCTAGTCAAGGAACCACATGACTAAAAGGAAGCAAAATACTTTTATTCTCCCTTATAATTTGGCATTATTGTGTACTTTGAAGGAACTCTGGTGATGTAGTGGTTAAGCATTTGGCTGCTAACCAAAAGGTTAGTGGTTCAAACCCACCAGCCACTTCATGGGAGAAAGATGAGGCAATCTGCTTCTATAAAGATTTACAGCCTTAGAAACCTTATGGGCCAGTTCTACTCTGTCCTATAGGGTTGCTATAAGTCTGAATCAACTCAGTGGTAGTGGGTTTATGTGCTTTGGGCACAGAAATATGAGCAGCCATAGTCACTTTCTGGGTAGAAATTTTAAGACCTAGTACATGCCCCAGAAACCCAAGGCTCTAACTCAGTGGCACATAACAACAACAACAACAGTACATGATGGGCTTCACTTCCTCTTTCCCTCTATCATGGAGAATGGCAATGGTCCAAATACTGCCTGCTGAATGAGTCTGAATTTAGAGTGATGACCAGGTATGGCAGAAACTCCAGTTCACCCACATTAGACATGAAACATGAACAAGGCATAAATCTTAGTTGTATTAGGGGGAAGAAAAAACAAAACAAAAAAAAAGAAGAAGCAATGTCATAGTGAGTGACTTACCATGAGTTGGAGCCCCCACCAGGAGCACTTGTGTCAGGTTTCCATTCACCATCACATGGCCACTAGACAGGGAAGTGCCCAGTTTCCCCATCGCCTGTGAAATGGAATAAACCAAGTCTGTAAAGCTAAGAAAGCTTTTTCACACCCACACTCCTGGGGAGAGACTGTCATACCTTGTCTCCGGAAATTGTAAACAAGCTTTGACAATTTGGCGGGAAATAGCCATACACCCTTCCAAGGTTTGGTTTCTCCTCATGGTTTTGGAATAAATGTCCTAGACTGGAACAAAGCACACAGAGCTCAGCTGCCTGGCACAAGGTTAGAGACCAGCCACATATTGAGAGGTAAGCAGCCCTGGATCAGGTTCAAAGAAAGAGTATGCACCTCACCCCACCCACGTCCCACACCTGCTCTAAGTCTCTGTAATCCTAGGCATGGGAGTATGTGTACTTTCAGAGTTAATCCCAACATTGAGGTTCTCCAGATACCACCTCCATCATTCTGCCTCCCAATTTACACTAAAAATGTTGTTATTGTTAGCTATCGAGTCAACCCCTAACTCATGATGACACTGTGCACAATGGAACAAAATGCTGCCCAGTCTGGTGCCATCTCCATGAGTGGCTGCAGATTGGATTGTTCTGATCCCTAGGGTTTTCACTCTTTGGATTTTTTGAATGTAGATCACCAGGACTTTCTTTCTCTTCTATTTTAGCCTGGAAGCTCTGCTGAAATCTGTTCAGCACCACAGCAGCACGCAAGCCTCCACTTGCTGGCAGATGAGTGCTGGCTGTGCCTGAGGTGCACTGGCCAGGAAGTGAACCTGGCCTCCTGCATGACAGGGGAGAATTCTACCACTTAATCACTATTGTCTCCATTCACCAAAATAGGGACATCTAGCTACCTAATTTTTAAACTTCTAAGCAGGAGAATTTCCAATGTTGCCAGAGCCTTAGCTTTTCCTCCTAGGGGAACACTTTCTTAACCTCTTTCTCTGAACGCTACAATGAATGAGCTTCCAAAGGAGAATTCACTAGCTCCTTGGCCTAACTGCTCCCTGGGCTCCAACACCATGCTCACCTGCTGGTATTCTTCCAGGTTGGGCTCCCAACCAACAGCAAAGTCCTGTTGTTCATGCTGACACTGTGGAGGGAGTATCCAAACCAGGCAAAGTCATCCTGGCCTCTCACCAACCAATCAGCTGCCTCGACATTCAGCTTTTCTAAACAAGACAACAAACCCCTTTTATTTTACATAGGAGAGAGAATGGGGTGGGAACAGTAGACCCTTTTGTAGGCTGATGAGAAACTGGGGTTCTTTTTGTTGAGTTTTTGCCAGAACTCTTCTATGTGCACCCCACCCCCCATGCTAATTCCAGGAACTCCAACATTAGAAATGGATCTCACATTCCATTCAAGAAATATACTTCTAGAGCTCATTTCTCTAGTGGGGTGGGGCACAGAATATTTAAAAAGAGCCCCTTCTCTAGACATTTTGGACCTTTACAGGCAAACCTTTGGTCCTAAGCTTCCTAACTATGTCTATTATTATGTTAGGAGATTATGAGAATAAGCCTGGATCCCTTCAGATCTGGATCTAGAAACTGGATCACTTTTGTTTTTTTTAAGTATTTTTAAAATTTTGTTGTTGAGAATGGACACAGCAGAAAATACACCAATTCCACAGTTTCTGTGTGTAGAATTTGGTGAAACTGATTACATTCTTGCAACCATTCTTACCCTTTACTGAGTTGTTCCACCCCTATTGACATAACCCACAGCTCCTCATGTTTCCTACCTAATCCTTTGAGTTGCTGTTGTCAGTATGATCCCATTCAGATAGACCTTAAAAGAGATAATGCTTAAGGCAGACATTCTTTACTAGTTAAGCTAGACTACTGTTTGGTTTTAAAAAGACTTCAGGGAATATTTTAGATTTAAGGTTTAAAGATATCTCAGGGCAATAGCTTCAGCATGGATCACTTTTTTGTATTGAGTAAATCTATCAACGTCACTTGCTAGGACAATTATACAAGTGTTGAATGATATAGAAGGAGGAACTCAAACCAAACCCACTGCTTTCGAATTGATTCTAGCTCATAGCAACCCTAAAGGACAGAGTAGAACTGCCTCAAAGTATTTCCAAGGCTGTAAATCTTTACAGAAGCAGACTGCCTCATCTTTCTCTCATGGAGTGGCTGATGAGTTCAAACCACCGACCTTGTGGTTGGCAGCTGAATGCTTTAACTACTATGCCACCAGAACTCTTGGGAAGAAGGAAGAAGGACATAAACTCAAATGCAGGAGAAATAATCCCAGGCAGAGAGGAGGGGCATCTCTCCCATTGCCCCCATCAAGAGGTACCTTTGTTGTTCTGGCTGAGGCCAGAATAAAACACAGCCACAATTCCCTTCTGCTTCCCTCCACCTGGTGCAAATGGGGAGCCAATCACCAGATCAGGCTCACTGTCTCCATTCACATCAGCAGCCAGCAGTGTCCAACCCAGGTTACAGTAGGTGTCCTTAAGAGGAAATCACTTTTTACTCACTGCTGGAGGCAAGGAGGCAGCGAATCCTAGTTTTCTGCACCTGGCTAAGGTGGTAAACATACCTGGCAAGAGATGGTGATGTTAGGAGGAGAAGATATCCTTCCTTGCCGAGAACCAAAGTAGACATACACTGCTCCCTAGACCAAGACAAACAGCAAAGAGATAAGGCTCAGATGGTGGCCCAAGAACCTTCAAGAACAGCAAGGCCAAAAGGACTAACCTGGATATCAAGCACTGTCAGAGCCACCTGTGGTCAGGAGTTTAATGGCTGTCAGAAAACTGACCTGTGCATTGCTACAGGGCTATAGTGACTTTCTTTAAATCTGTCATTCTCAACAGAGAGCCCTCTGTCATGAACTGAACTTGTCCCCAAAAAATATGTGTTATAAATTCTGGTAGCATACTGCTTAAGGCACTTGACTGCTAACCAGAAGGCTGGTGGTTCAAACCCACTAGCCACTCCTCGGAAGGAAGATGGGGCAATCTACTTCCGTAGTGATGATACTGCCTCAGAAACCCAAGGAGGGGTCGCTATGAGTCAGGTCCCACTCGATGGCACATAACAACAACAACAACAACATACCTGTGGTTATAATCCCATTTGGGAATATGCTTTCTTTGTTATGTTAATGATATAGTATAAATGTAAACTGTGTCTTAAATTAATGTCTTTTGAGTTATAAAACAGCAGATTAAGCAAAACAAGCTCAAACTGAGGGGAAGAGACATGTCACATGATCACCAAGGAACCCAGGAACAGAAGTTGAAAAGAGAAAAAGACCTCTCCCCAGAATAGACAGAGAGAGAAAGCCTTCCCCTAGAGCTAGCGCCCTGAATTTGGACTTCTAGATCCTACACTGTGAGAAAATAAATTTCTGTTCATTAAAGCTTATGATATTTCTGTTACAGCAGCACTAGACAACTAAGATACCCCAAAGCAGAAACTTTGTTATTTTCATCTTTGTTTCTGTGGGGTCTGATTCAGGATCTGCCATATGTAATTGTTCATTGTTTGCTGAATGAGGTTGTTTGCTGAATGTTCCACTTCTCAGTCCATTCAAGGCCAAGCTTAGTTTCCACCTTCTCCTTGAATCCTTACCTGACCACACTAGCCCATCCTACCTCTGAATACTCAATTCACCATACCTGCACCATTCATTTGCCTTGGGACACATTCTGTGCCATTCATTGCTTTGTGTTATGAATCAAATCCTACCTTATTATTTGTCTGTCTCCATCTCCATTCATTTTTTCTTTCTACCTGCATTTATTTGCCAAGTACTAGGGAATCACAAGCCAAGTACTGGAGAAACAGGATGAGTAAGACCAGTCTTGTCCCACCGGAAAGGCTGGTAAAGAGGCAATTACAATGAAGTGTGCAAGGCAGGGGCAAGCACAGGATGCTATGAAAAGATAATGAAGCATTGCCTAACCCAGGGGTTAGATAGTGCTTCCTGCAAGAAGTAACATGCCACTTGTATTAAAAAAAAAAAAAAAAGTGAGAAAGGATTTTTCAGGCAGAGGGGCTACGTAAACAAAGACCCCAAATTGAGAAAGCATGGTGAGTTCAGGAAATTACAAATCGTTTGCAGGTCAGAAACATAGTATGAGGAAGTAGGAGCAGAAGGTGAGCCTGTAGAGGGCCAGGAGCATGTAATGAAGGGTCTTGGGCCTCCACAGTCACACCAGGGCCCAGGCACTTATGCCCAGCTACGGCGCATGAAGTACATGTGGGAAGAGAGCCCTGTGGTCCAGGGGCCAGGAACTCTGCTCTTAATAAGAAAACAGAAGGAACAAGTTGGGTTCTGTGCATGAGAAGAAAGGTCCAAGGAAGTTACTTCTCTGCTGTGATGACAGGAAGCTATAGAGTAGCTAGAAAAGCTATAGAATGGCTAGAATTCCTGTCTCTCTTCACTAGCATTTAGCATTACGTGTGTGGGGCAGGGGGAGGGGGAAGAAAAATAAAGTAATTTGGTGAAATTTGAAAACAATGATGCCAGTATAAAGCAGTGTGTGTGTGTGTGTAAGAACATGTGCTGACTGGTAAGGAGAGGTCATGTCAAGGACCCAGATGGGGCCAAAGATCATTTGCCCACGAACACTCTGTCCAGCACCTTTGGCTATCTGCTTTTTTTCAGAGGCTCTATCCAATATTGGTCTCCTCTAAGTGCCTTCTGCCTTTCCACCCCACTCCACCAAGCAATGGAGAAACACCCACCCACCACACACTAGCCTTACTTTATATGTGAGCTGCTCAGAGCCCACTGAGGGCGCTCCCACAGCCAGGTCAGGCACACCATCCTTATTGAAATCCAACACGGCCAAAGACGAGCCAAACCGACCTGAGGGCTGGAGAGGCAAAAGTTACATCCCCAGGTTGAGCCACAGCCTTCAGGCACTCCTGGCTCCCTGTTGTCACATGAGTCAATAGAATAGGCTACTAAAGACTGAAGTGGAAGTACCTGAGAGTCTTGCTCATCACCCAAAGGTTAAAGAACAAAATCACAGCAACTTATAACATTTAGTATACTCCAGTTGGGTAGCTCTGCCCTAAGAATAATTTTGGCATGTCTGTCTGCCTTGAGGTGAAGATGAGGTGCCAGAAGATAGAGTGTCAGTTCTTATGAGCCTTGGGTTTTTAGCTAATGGTCTGGTGTGTAATATACCCAATATTAAGCACCAAACTCTTTTTAGAAAGTATCCAAAATAACAATCACATAACACCAGAAACAGCAGCTACCATTGGTTGAGAACTCAGAGTGTTCTGGAGTCATGGTTCTCAATATAATAGCCCCTAGTCACATGTGTGATGGAGCTCTGGTAGCATAGTGCCTAAGGCACTTGACTGCTAACCAGAAGGCTGGTGGTTCAAACCCACCAGCCACTCTTCAGAAGCAAAGTTGGGCAATCTACTTCTGTAATGACACTGCTTTGGAAACCCAATGAGGGGTCGCTATGAGTCAGGTCTGACTTGGTGGCATATAACAACAACAACAACAACAACAGCTACATGTGGCTATTATGTTTAAACGCAAAGTAATTAAAATTAAATAAAATTAAAAAGTCAGTTCTTCAGTTGCATTAGCCATATTTCATGTGCCCAGTAGCCAATGCGGTTAACCCAACTAAGGAACTGACTAATTAATTTTATTGACTGTTAATTAGTTGGAGCTCTGGTGGCATTTGACTGCTAACCAGAAGGCTGGTTGTTCAAACCCACCAGCCACTCCTCAGAAGAAAGATTGGGCAATCTAAGATACTGCCTTAGAAACCCAAGGAGAGGTTCACTATGAGTCGGGAAGACTTGTCAGCAGTGAGTTTGGTTTGGTTAATTAGCTTATATTTAAACAAAACAGCCAATGTGCTTAGTGGCTACTGTATAGGACAGCACAGATATAGAATATTTCCAGGAAGTTCTATTAGATGGTGCTGTTGCAGACACTGTTCCATGCACTTTACATGGATTAAGATTGATGTTGTTGTTACACCCATTTTACAGATGGAAACCTCAGTCTATTACTGAACGATGTTCCTCCAAGATGAATTTTCTAGATTCCACTCCTATTCTTTCATAATGACTTACATAACTATGAGGTCTTTCACAAGGTGATCTTGCTACATAACACACATGCTCCAGTACTCTTTTCTATTGGCTAATCTCTCTACACCTGTGTTCAATGGCATCTGTGAATTCTGCAAGTTAGGAGCTTGATAAACAAGAGAAGATTGTTTGGAGACACAAAGCAAGTTGAGGCAGGGTGGAGACTCTTTGTCTCTTTTTGAGGACTGGTTTATTTCATCATAACCCACCTTCCTGCAGGTTAATCAGTCATTCCTAGAGGACCATGGAATTTCAAAGCAGACAAGTGCTTGGGTTGTCATTTACCCTAACCCTTCATTCTATACCAAACTCACTGCCGTTGAGTCAATTCAACTTGTAGTGACCCCTCCTTGGGTTTCCAAGGCAGTATCTCTATGGAAGTAGATTGTTCAATCTTCCTTCCAAGAGACAAGGATACAGAGAGGTTAATTACAGAACCAGGGCTGGAGTGAAGAATTCCTATTGCTGGTCCATGCCTTAGTGTATCATCTTCCAATGTATCAAAGGTCGCTGAGGGAAGAAAGGCATGGAGCCACCTTCTTCCTTGCCCCAAGTGGTCTTTGAGAGAATTTATCATCCACAGGGATCAGCTGCCTCTCTTACTCTCAGTGTATATGAGTCCACAGGATATTTTACACAACAGTCTGACTGAGGGGACAGCCTAGTGAAGAAATAAGAAGAAACAGGAATGGGTGGATTTACTTTAGAACTTCCTCAAGGGTCAGAAAGTTCCAGAAAATGCTGTCCCTTTGCGACTGTGATCTCATACTGGCAGTCAACTTGTTTACACCACTTGGATACAGGGATCCTTTCATCAGTGCCTAAACTAGGTCATAAGCCACTTATGACCCAGTTTATGAAATGTAAATGTAAAAATAAAATGTATTTTCACTTTTAAAAGTATTTTCAGATATGTCATCTTATTTTCTCTTCACCACATTAACTCCACAAGCAGAAGGTTAAGTGGCTTCACTAGGATAAGAACAATGATCTGACCCAAAGTCCAGGGTTCCTTCCATTGGCACTTGCACTCAGAGCATCTAGTGTCAGCCCAGTGTCAACCAAACCCCCCAAACTCATTTGCAACTAATTGCAGAGCTCTTTCTGCCCTTCCTTACTGCCTTTGTAAGGACTACTGCCTCTGATGTTTGGAAAACACTCCAGGTTCCTAGTACTCCAGAGAAGAATTAGTGTTCAGACTACATGAAGAACATGTGTAAAGTCATGGTGGAACTTTTCTGGTGATGAAAAACTGCTTAAAACAAAAGAATTAAATATGAATAAAGCCTGGAATTTAGTTTATAGTAATATACTGATGGCAGTTTCTTATTTTTGACAAATGTGCAACAGTTACGTAAGGTATTAACACTAGGGAAACTGGATGAAAGGTATTTGGAACTGTCTGCACTATCCTCACAACTTTTCTGTAAACCTAAAATTGTTCCAAAATAAAAAGTTTACCTGTAAAAATACATTACATTCAAATAACAAAACCTGTTGTTGGATTACCAAGAACTCACATCTTGATTGGCCATTCAAAGCAGTTCCAAATAGTATGTACATATATGAAGATACTAGACTAAACACTCAAAGTTAATGATACTAACTACTGAAACTAACAGTTGCTGTCCAGTTGACTCATGGTGACCCCGTGTGTGTGAGAGTAGAACTGTGTTCCATGGGATTTTCAATGGCTAAGGGCAATCTACTTCCATAGTGATACTGCCTCGGAAACCCAAGGAGGGGTCACTATAAGTCAGGGCTGACTCGATGGCACATAACAACAACAACAATTTTTCAGAAGTTGATCACCAGGCATTTCTTCCAAGGTGCTTCTAAATAGACTCAAATCTCCAACCTTTCAATTACCAGCTAAGCATGTTAACATGATAGAATGAGCTAAGTGAAGTGAACATGCTTTTCGAAATGAAAAGTGCTCTACAAATGTAAGCCACCAGCTATAGTTACTGTAATGATTCTTATTGGTGGTGATTAATCCTGGAGAATTTGCCACAGAACATAGGCAGTGGATAACTAACCACTAAGAGGGGAGATATGAGAAGGGAGCCTCACCTGGAAGCCCTCCAGGATCCCATGAGCTTCTTTGTCTAGGTCCAGGTCGACAGGGGGCAGGCCCAGGTCATTGCTGTAGATGAGGTACACGCGCCCGACCTGAATGTGGCCTGGGCGGCTGTACCCAGGTGCGCCCACCACAAGGTCCCCATGCCCATCCTGGTTGAGGTCGGCCGAGGTCAATGCCCTGTAGAGGAGAGGAGGAGCCCACTGTGGTATCCACTGACTGTTATGGGCAGAACTCTCTCCTCCTTCTTTCTTTTCTTTCTAGAATACAATGCTTTAACGTTCTCTCACTGAGTGACTGTTGTGATTATTCACTTCTGAGGTGGTAGTCTTTGATTGTCTTACTCTCAAGGAAAAGAAAAAAATATCACAAAAACAGAACAAAACAGGAAGTCTGAGCATTTCTGGAAAAACATCTTCACAGAGCAGTGTCTTAATGCAGAACCCTGAGCAGCCAAAGTACAGCCCTGCGCTCTGCCTGAGAATGGAAGGAAACCACATCCAAACTAACCACTCACTCCAGGCAATGGTGCAGGTCATTTTCTGATCTGCTCAACTAATTTCAGTTTTTCATCTGATCAAATGAAAGATTGTTTTACACATACTGCTTTATTTCTACAGTAGCTACGTAGGGTGTCTTGTATTGGACCAAATCAAATGTCCAACAAATTCAGTGGATGTTCATAAATAAGATCCCAAGATCTACCAGTTTTAGAGATGGCCAAACTGAGTCAAACGTTCAAATGTCTCTGTTGGGACTGTAAAGGACAAAAGTAATTTATTTATTCTAATTTTTATGGCAACATAAAGAAAAGATGAAAAACCTATACCCCAGTGTTCATTGCAACATTATTCACAATAGCCAAAAGGTAGAAACAACCTAAATGTCCAGCAGCAGATGAATGGATAAACAAAATGTAGGATAGCCCCATAGAACGGAATATTACTCATTAATACTTGCTATAGCATGATGCACCATGAAATCATGCTGAGTGAAGTAAGTCAGTCACAAAAGAACAGATATTGTATAATTCCACTTACATGAAATAAGCTTATTAGTGGTTACCAGGCATGAGCGGGAGGGGAAAAGAGGACATCATTGCTTAGGAAGTGGAATAATTGGAAAAGGATAGTGGTGATGGTTACACAACATGAACCTAATCAGTGTCACTGAATTGTACATGTAAAAATTGTTGAATTGGAAATGTTGTTATATTTGTACCACGATTTGTTTTAATGGCAGAACAGATGAAAATGAGAAGGGCAGTTTCTACATGGTGTGGCTCCTTGTGACAGGATCCACACTAGTGAACAAACTCATGTTCTCTCTACTCCTGGGGCTTGATGCTGGCTAGCACTAGACCACAAGGAACAACCTCTGAAGAGCTGCCTCCCACTGTGGCTGCTGTCCAGTTGCTGTCCTTCTTCTGGACCTTTCAGGAAGGAGTCCATGAAGAACCATTATTCACCAGTGAATAGCCTGTACAGACAACATTCACTTCTCATCCCTCTCTGCGAGAGCTGAATGCATTAGTAGCCCAGAAAGGAAGGGCTCTCAGTAAATTCTTTCAAGGAAATGCAATGTGGTTTGGATTTAAGAACTGTGGTCTAAAAAAGATACTTCACCAAAACCTCCTGAAAATAGTCACTTTTATATACTTGTGCTCAGTTTTGTTTGATTTTTAAAATCAGAGGATTCCTTAATATTCTCTTTATAAAATTATCATGATCTACTAGGCTTTTACTATAGGAAGGTATACTATTCAAATATAAATACTATTCATAATAGCTATATATGGTCTAATAGTAATCTATTTATATCCTTCTAAGGTCATTAGATTCCAAAAAATCTGTAACAAGACATCTTTAGGAGTATTTGAAACTTTATAAGTAAGTATTCTATCAAATAATATTTTATTGTGTTGTTTAGTAAAGTGAGGCCTCGTTATGTATAAACATATTTTGACCAATATTAAGGAGCTAGTTTCGTCCTTCCACCACTCATCATGCTGTGGTGGCTTGCATGTTGCTGTGATGCTAGAAGCTATACCACTGTCATTTACAGGACTAAGGTATGTCTGACCCAACTCATGGTATTTTCAATCTTCTCATATGCATGTGAAAGCTGGACAATGAATAAGGAGGCCTGAAGAAGAACTGATGCATTGAATTATGGTGTTGGTGAAGAATATTGAATATATATCATGGACTGCCAGAAGAACAAATGAATGAATCTATCTTGGAAGTATAGCCAGAATGCTTCTTACAAGCAAGGATAGGGAGAATTCATCTCACATACTTTGGACATGTTGTTAGGAGGGACCAGTCCCTGGAGGACATTATGCTTGGCAAAGTAGAGGGTCAGCAAAAAAAAGGAAGACCCTCAAGGAGATGGATTGACACAGAGGCTGTTAACAGTGGGCTTGAACTGTGAGCAATGACTGTGAGTCATAGCACAGGACAGGGCAGTGTTTTGTTCTGTTGTATATAGGGTTGCTATTAGAACTGACTCAATGGCACCTACCAACAAGTTTCATCCTTACACTAGTGTATCCACTAAATTAATGTTTTTGTTGATGATACATAGATTAGAAAATAAAATATTTGTTGAATGCTTGGATAAAACTAAAATATATGAAAGCATGTACAAATAAGATAAATTTATACCCACCAACCAAGTCTTGCATAGGGAAATGACAGGAAGTAAGATGCCATGGGGCTAGAGACATGATTAAGTGACGTCTGTGAGCCACCTGTCAACATTGTCCGTACGTTCCTTTCCAAAGCCTGGTACATAAAGGTAAGTGAATCCTGAAAGGAAAGAATCATTACAATAGATAAAACACATCACATAAGCAACCAAAGCTACTGTTTCCTGTCAAAAGCATGGGACTTTTGTAAAGGAAACAGTTCTTACAAGTGCTAAAAAATAAAATATTGATTCCTACCAACAAGTAAAGTCACTTAAAACCAGTACCAAACCCGTTTCCATCAAGCTAATTCCAACTTACAGTGATCCCATGTGTGTCAGAGCAGAAATGTGCTTTGTAGGGCTTTCAGTGGCTGTGACCTTTCAGAAGGAGATTATCAGGCTTTCTTCTGAGGCACCTCTGGGTGGGTTCAAACTGCCAACCTTTTGGTTAATAGCCAAGTGCTTCACTGTTTGTGCCACCCAGAGACTTCAAGGGTACTTAAGACAGGCAATTAGGAGAGTAAAATCACCATCAATATATGCTGAGGGATGGTATAGTTATTACTCAAAGATGGGCTAGCATAGGAAGAAAGAGCTGAAACTTAAGTCAAACCAACTAAGTCAGGAGAGTCTATATTGATTTGCAGAACCTAGTTGAATGAAATAATTGTTATTGTTGTATGCTGCTGAGTTGATTCTGACTTATAAAACAAAACCTACTGACATCAAGTTGATTCTAACTCATAGTGACCCCATTGGGTTTTTCGGTTTTGTTTTTTTTTTTTTTCATTGTGATTTGGGTGAAAGTTTACAGAGCAAATTCACTTTCCATACAGCAGCTCACATACACTTTGTCTCATGACATTGAGTAAAATTTCCCAACGCAATAGCTCCCCTCCCACTTCCTCCCCATAGTTACCTCTTCCCTGTGTCCTTGTCTCCATTTACTGCTACCTCCTGAGCTGTCTCCCTGTGCATACACAGCCCTTCTATTTCCCCATGGTGTTCTTTCCAAGGAGTATATCTACGTGTATCTATCTACATGTAATATAAATGTTCAGTGCATATGCCTGTCTTTTGTTTGGCTGGAAGCCACAGGAGTAGGTTCAGTTCCAGACCTGAAGGGCAGCTAGGGGCCATAGTCCAACGAGTTCCATTAGGCTCTATTAGGCCAGTAAACCTGGTCCCTTTTTTTTTTTTTTTTTTTAATGATTTTGAGTTTCATTCCACATTGTTCTCCCACTCTATCCAGGATCTCCTACATAGATTCCCCTCTGAATGGTTGACAGTTACCACTGAACACCACCTAGTTCTTCTGGTCTCATAGTCATATAGACTGAGGATTGCATGCTGTACCAGTCACTTGTTCTAATTGTTTCCACATATCTGTGGTTTTCTTCATTCTTTTTTGCTCTGGATGAGGAGGGACCCATTGTTGCATCTAGCCCATTAGGTTTTTGAGGTGGTAAATCACTAAGGAAGTAGATTCCCTCATCTTCCTTCCAAGGAGCAGCTGAAGGGTTTGAACCACCAAACTTCTGGTTAGCAGTCAGATGTCTTAGGCACTACACCACCAGAGTGCCTTTCCTAGGCTGTAATTTTTACAGAAGCAGATCACCAGGTCTTTTCTCTCACAAAACAGCTGGTGGGTTTGAACCACAGACCTTTTGGTTAGCAGTTGAGTGCTTAACTGCTATATCACTTGGGCCCCTTGTCCAGATACTAGATCCATTTAAGGTCAAGGAACACAAATCTAAATCCACCCAAGAATGTCATGAGATTGAACAAGACTTCCCATGCCTGCCCCAGAATGGAGCAGAACTGGCTCAGGTTCATGGACAGCCCTGAAGAGCCCAGGTTCTGGAGAAACACAGCTTATAAGAACCCTGCAGGCAGGGACCATGCCTTCTGTTTTCCCCATGCTGAGCCTTCTGGGCCTTGTGCACAGATTGCTCACTCAAAAGCCTAGTTTTGGCTTTTTAATCTATACAGGAAGCATTTAGTAAGACACTGTGAGCCAAGCACCATGATAGGCCTTGGGAATGTAATATCCCTCCCTTGTGCAACTCATCTTTTTGCAAAGGAGACAGATTCATATACAAAGACTTGCAAGACAAAATGATATATGCTTTGACAGAGGTTCCCAGGTCCAGGACCAGTCACATAATTTGCAAAAGTCAGTGCAAAATAAAAATGTGGAGCCCCTTATTTGAAAATTGCTAAGCATTTTAAGGCAGTGACAGGAGAGCACTGTACCCTATAGCCCTTGTTTTATGATCCAGGCAAACAAGACTACTCACAGATTTCCAAACAACCTGAAATTTTCCTAACCCACTACGAAAGGAGTACTTTCTCACTGATGAAATGATAGTTACTGCTCCAGGTCAAGATAGCCTCTCTAGAGAAGAATTATCACTCTCTTATCTAACTGGCTAAAGAGCTCTGGTAGCACAGTGGGTAAGTAAGGCATTTAACTGCTAACCAAAAGGTAGGCAGTTCAAACCCAACAGCTACTCTGCAGGAGGAAGATAAGGCAATCTACTTCCTTAAAGAGGTACAGCCTTGGAAACCCAATGGGGGTCACTCTGAGTTGGAAAGGAGGAAAAGACTTGATAACAGTGGGCTTTATCTAACTAGCTACTCACCCCTCCATGGTATCTGTTGCATTCTATCCACATAATGATTATTTTTCTCTTTGTCTTCTCCATTAGACTGAAATTTTCTAAAGTCAGAGTCTATTCCCCTTTCATCTTATATTCCTTCAGTAGAGCTGTTGTTGTTAGCTGCTGTCGAGTTGATTCCTGACTCATAGTGACCGTGGTGACACTAGGGTTGGTGTCACTCAGTACAGTAACTCATGGTGTCACCTTCTCCTTACTTGTAGTGTGTACAGGCAAAACCACATACGCTGAAGTGTCATAGTAATTAGGTAACAATCACAGCTCTAATGGGAGCTCATTAGAAGGTTTAAAAGTATATTATCGTAGAATTTTAAACTTGTAGGTATATCAATACATGGAAGCTGCTCTGATGAAAATTATTTTTGTTGTTATAGCTAACTTTGAGGCTATTATAAAAAATAATAAATTTCTGCTGAAACATGGCATGAAAATTTTATAGATAGTCATTCTGGTATCTTCCCCTCTGAAAGTGTCACCTGTTGTGGTTCACATCCCCTGCACTCCCCCTAGGGACACCACTGCGTGGCAACCCCATGCACAACAGGATCAACCCAGGTGATCCATAGGATTTTTGTTGGGTGGTTAACAGGATCAGACCACATGATCTACAGGATTTTCATTGTCTGGTTTTTGGAAATAGACTGCCAGGCCTTTTGCCCTAGTCAGCCTTAGTCTGGAAACTCCACTGAAACCTGTTCAGCATTATATATAGCAATAATGAAGCTACTAGTGACAGATGAGTGGTAGCTTCACTTGAGGAACATTGGCCAGGAATCAAACCCAGGTCTGGCACATGGTGGGCAAGAATTCTACCATTGAACCATCAGTGCTGTCCCCAGCAGAGTACCTTACACCTAAAAGATGATCTCATAGATGAATTCCACATTTAATGGTGTCCCTCAGCATGGAGTTCTGCACAGTGAGTACACAATATTGCCGATACATCTTAACTAAGGCCAAAGCAAGATTGGCCCAGATGCCCCAGGCTACCCTGGGCTGCACTAGACTTGCCAGAGGCCACTGAGGTCCAGACTTATGTCTGAACAAACCAGATTTAGATGCCAAGGGTTTTCACCAGCCTGGCATATGCCCAGGTGACTTTCAATAGATGATTAAATACCCAATCCCTTTCACAAAACAACATATCCCAAGAAATAGCATTTTCCTCTTTCTCCATTAATATCAGAAATTTCTTACTGGGGTCCAGGTATCCACTCTAAAGAACACTCCTCTTTCTGTATAATTTAAGTTTCTATCAATATCTTTCATTCGGGATGCAGTCAAATTTCTATGAAAAGCATTTTTCTGCATTGTTGATCTGTTGAAAAGAGAAGAATAAAAACGCTAAGATTGAGAAAACAATCAGCCCCTTGAGTAACTGAATTGAAGTACAAAAACAAATTAAGCACAAGTTAAAAGACCATAACATTTTAACATCTAAATGTTGAAGGAGCAACACCACAAAAGGCAACATGTTATAAAAACCTTCACAGGAGAGTCTATAAGTCTCCTAATTAATATATTTCTAAGGTTTTTAAACCTTCTAAGGCTTTTAAGCCTGTCCTTATAAAAAAAAACATTTCCTATAGCCTCAGAGCTATATAATGAGAGTAAAACACTTAAATTCCTCCCAAATTACTGAAATATTAGAGGTATTTCAATAATTCACATAAAAAGTCAAGAAGCTGATATGTAGGTAGTTGGTAAACTAATATGGAAGGTTACTGATTTATCTTTAAAGGTATGATAGAATTAATTATATAATAAAAACACATTTTCAAATGCATATATTTTATCCAGCTTATAAGTCAGATGCCTAGAAGAGCCAGGCAGGCTTCATAAACAGGTGAAGTGGAAGGCAGGGCAGAAGAAATGAGTGAAGGCACACCTGTGTAAGATGCCATGTGGGGATTGCAAGCCAATCTAAATGTGTTAACTTGAATTTTTTTTAAAAGATTACCCGTTTCAAATAAATTATACAATGAAGGCTTAACTGAACTCTTTCTACATATTTTCAATTCTTCCAAAGTTCTAAGCTCTCTCCCTGCTTAGGACCTTTCATTACCATTTTTTTGAGTATCTAGTTTTTATTTTCGTTTGTGGCATTTTTAACTCCATCATGTCAGCCCCCAAAACAGAGCCACCCCATGCACAAAGGAAGAAAATGATGTGGGCCTTATGTCATCCACATGATTGGTTGCAGATTGGACTGTTGTGATCCATAGGGTTTTCATTGGCTGAATTTTTGGATGTGGATCACCAGGCCTTTCTTCCTAGTCTGTCTTAGTCTGGAAGCTCCCCTGAAACCTGTTCAGCATCACAGCAAATCCAAGCCTCCAATGACAGACTGGTGACAGTGCATGAGGTGTATCAGCTGAGAAATCAACTCAAGTCAGTGCGATCTGCACTCTTCCTTCATTAACACAATATTTATCATCACTTGTTCAGTGCTGATCCACCTTGTAGCCATGCACTCCATGATGGAATGAACTGTTTCTGTCTTGTTCACAAAGGTATCTCTAGTGCCTAACCTCCTAATGATAGGACTAACGATAACCTAGTGATTAATAAATACCATTTTATTGTTTTATTATGTTTATTATAATTTTATTAATAGTAGATATTTATAATACTAGTATAATTTCTAGATGAATGAATGAGTGTTTGGTGGTTGGTACCTGACTCCAGCAGGGATACCACCTCTTATAATACTAATAAGCCCTTCGGCCCTCTTCCTAACAAGTCACCAGAGAGGTCATCTCTGCATCTTGTCTCATTGCTAGATACTTTTTCCAGGCTGAAATTTGCATAAAGTTTATGGGTAACAAAAACAATAATAACAGGAATAACAATACAAACTACCACTTTGTGAGCAACTTACTATGAGCTAATTGCTTTATGTCCATTACATATGATCACTCTGGAGCATGGATGTGTATTTTTTCCATTTTGTAAAAGGAGGAAGCTGTAACTCAGAAAAATTAAGTGACTTAATCGAAAACCACACAAACGTCAATGGCAGAGCTGGAACTGGAACCTATTCCTGTCTGTCTACAAGTGCTATAGTCCCAACCTCCACAGACACCATCTCCAGGTGAGATGCTTTTTTCTGCACACTTTTGGACCCACTTACCTGTGCGTCTTGTTTTGCTGGCCGCCACATGCTATGAACAAAGGGTTCTCGGGTAAACTGCAGTCACTGGGGAAATAGACAAATGAGTTAGACATTTTTCTATATTCTTTTCAAGCATGGATTTTACTGAGAATCAGGTGAACTTCAAACCACCTGCAATAACCTCAGTTCAGAGTTGTCCATTTCCTATTCATACAGGGTCCCTAAAGAGCTAGGATCCTTCCAGGTGAGGGTGGATAAGTTGACTGATGGTGGTACTATGGTAATACAGGCAATGTCACACTAACCATCACCTCAGACTTACAGGCTTCCCATTCCCTCCTCACCCCACCTGCTTTGCTGTTTCATGCTAACATAAAACATCTTAGACTCAAAGACTGTAAAGAAACTGGTTCCCAATTGTGGTGGATAATTTATGTGCCAGCTTGACTAGGCTCTGGTGCCCTGTTGTCTGGCCAAACACTAGAGTGGATGTTGCTATGAAGGTATTTATGTGCTCTGGTGGCATAGTGCCTAAGGCATTTGACTGCTAACCAGAAGGCTGGTGGTTTAAACCTACCAGCTGCTCTTCAGAAGGAAGATTGGGCAATCTACTTCCATAGTGATACTGCCTCGGAAACCCAAGGAGGGGTCCCTGAGTCTAATCAACTTGACAGCAGTGAGTTTGGTTTGGTTTTTAACATTTATACTCAGCTGACTCTAATGAAAAGATAATATGGTTGGGCCTCATCTAATCATTTGAAGACTATGGGAGCAAAAACTGAGGTATCCCGATGGAGAAGGAATTGTGCCTCAAGACATAGATACCCTGCCAGAGTTTCCAGCCTGCCACCTGGCCTGCCAGTTTGGGAGGTGCTAGCCCCCAAAATTACATGAGCTAATTCTTTAAAATCAAGCAATCTCCCTCTCTCAATATACTAGTATCAATATCTATTCCTCTCTCTTGATATATCTGTGTCTGAGTCTAACTCTCCTGTTAGTTATGTTTCTCTGGAAAACCCTGTCTAGTCTACTATGCTGCCTTCTGCCCAATTCGGCCCATTTATGCCCAAATATATCTTAATTTCTCAATTTCACTCCCTTATTTATCAATTTAAATAATTAAATAGGTAAATAAAAGTATTTCCTTTTACAAGTGAAAAGATCTTTGAGCAAATGTAAGGAGTGAATTCTTTCAACCAGGAACTATTCCCCTATCTCTGAACCAAAGGAATATTACATTTAAGAAAAGGAAGATTTGTACAGAGGTCACTGAGGGGAGCTCAGGGTAGTAAGAAAGACTGGAGACTTGGGTGAGGACTAGTTGCTCAGAGAGGAATTCAGAAAAGGAAGAAGGAAGAAGCTGAAGGCAAACTTTGCTATCAAAATCTTTCTTAGGGCTAGGCTTGAGCTGAGGAAAAGGTTCTTCCTCTAAATCCTCTTTTCTCCACCACCAGGATTCAGACAGTAGGCTCACATTGTTGTTGTTATGTGCCATCGAGTCGGACCTGACTCATGGTGACCCCTCCTTGGGTTTCCGAGGCAGTATCACTATGGAAGTAGATTGCCCCATCTTTCTCCTGAGGAGTGGCTGGTAGGTTTGAACTGCCAGCCTTCTGGTTAGCAGTCAAGTGCACTATGCCACCAAAGCCTCCCATTAGCACTGTATTTACAGTTTCTAAGTGAGTGCTGGCCAGCAATTTAACTGTTATTTCACTGTTTCTTTAGGAAAATGTGTTATGAATTTCAAATAACTTATAAATAAAGCTTTGGAAGGTAACTTAGTAAGTTGGGAAGTGCCTATAATATGAAAATATTTATATTTTTTTCTGTCATGTATTAATTTGTGTTATCTTTCTTTGGAACCTCCTCCAAATTTCCTATACATTTCCATAAATTCTGATGGATCTTTCTTTCTTTGTGTGTAAAAAGAAGCAATCAATTCCTGGATGTTTCTGCTTCACTAAATAAAGGCAGGGACCCAGAGATGAGAAATATATTTCTTTTCAACTATTTCTTCCTTGTGAGAGAATAAGGTCCTTCTGCATATCTTTCTTTAGCTTTGTGGAGAACCAAACTAACAACCCATTTGAGGATTGTTACCAAAACCAAACCAAACCAAACTTGGATTCGACTCATAGCAACCTCTCCTTGGGTTTCTGAGGCAGTATCACTTCAAAAGTAGATTGCCCAATCTTCCTTCTGAGGAGTGACTGGAGGGTTTGAACTGCCAGCCTTCTGGTTAGCAGTCAAATGCCTGAGGCACTATGCCACCTTACATATGGGTTATATAAAACAAATGAATGCAGGTCACTCATTCTAACACGGCCATGTGTTATTAGTCCTTCCAATATAAATTTAACTTCTCTCTAGTAATAACTATAATACTAGTAGCCAACATTTATTAAGTGCTCACTACATACCACGCCCTTTTGTGAATGTTCTCATTTACTCCCACAATATCGCTGTGATGTAGATCGAATTGTTGTTGTGTACCATCAAGTCAGTTCCAACTCATAGTGACACTATAGGAGAGTAGAACTGCCCTGTAGAGTTTCCAATGCTGTAAATTTTTGCAGAAGCCGATGTCACATCACATTTTTCATCTTTCACACACAGCTGGTGTGTTTGAAGCGCTGACCTTTCAGTTAGCAGCTGCACACTTAATTGTTGTGCCACCAGGGCTGTCCCCATTTTACTGATGAAGAAACTAAGACTGAGGGAGGTTTAGCAACTTGCTCCAGATAACTTCAGTTGAGATGACAAATCTCACCAATTCCAAAGCCCATGTTCTCAACAATTACGCCAGTATGCACCTAAAAACCAACAGCCACAGAAGGGCTTGGAGATTTTACTGGAGCTTTATTTCACTATTAAAAATAGCATTCATAGTAGACTGTTTACTCATGTCAATTTATTACTCATTGAGTCTTAAAAACAAACTTAATATTTACCTCACTAAAGTAGAATATGTCATCAAAGGAAATTCTGTCTCACTTTAACACAATATACAATTATGGTTAATATTATTTGAATACTAGCAAATGTCTTTAACAGCAAAGGAACATTATCCAGTGCATAAAATTCTGCGGACAGACCTATATAGGCCACTCTAGCTTATAAACATCTCTGTGATCCTTTCCCCATGCACAGCTCCTGCCTACCTCCTCTCTTTCCCACTACTGTGGCTGCTGCTTAATCTTCCCACCATCCCATTTTCCTGCCTCAGATGCTGGCTTCAAATGCTTCTTATCCAAACCTCCATCCCTATCCCATCTGGTACAGCACTGTGGGAGGGGATGCATACTCAGTGATAAGGTTGGAAATGGGTTCTGAAAGGAACCTAAACTTCCTTCAGGCCTAGGGCCATATTCTCTGAGAAGCTTAAGATCCTATCATAGCTGGAAGAGGTGTCCAGCCAGGCTGCTCTGACCTAGATTCAGTCTAAGTCTCCTGACACTTGCCCTGGCCACAGTGAAAAGAAGAAAAAGAACTAAAGGTGAAGCAAATGTCCCATCTGGCTAGTACTACTAGGGCTTACAAATACATCCATTTCAGATTTAATTTTGGGGTTGGGGGAGGGATATATCTGGGGTTCCATTTCTGTCCTTCTAGTTTTAGGTGGAAACCCTTGAGTCCTGAGAGGCTGGGGTGACAAGGAGAATCACCACATCTGCTGTCACTGGGCAATAAGAACATAGCAGCAGGAGCCACTCTAAAGCCCGAGAGCTGATGCTCAGGCCCACAGCATGTTTCTCCCAAGAAGATATAAGACCAGCAGTAGAAGCAAATTCCTTCCCAGCTGAGCCATTTCTCACAGGCCACACATCTGACAATAACCCTCTTTGTTATTGATTGAATTGTGTCCTCTCAAAATATGTGTTCGCCATCCTACTTTGTCAAGTCGTGACTGAGATCTTAAAAGCTTGCAAGCGGCCATCTAGATGCAACAATGGACCTCTCCTCATCCAGAGCAAAGAAGAATGAAGTAAACCAAAGATGCATGGAAACAATTAGTCCAAGCAACTGGTACACCATGCAATCCTCAGCCTATATGACTAGGAAACCAGAAGAACTAGATGGTGCCTGGCTACCACTGTCAACCACTTGCAGGAGGATCTATGTAGGAGATCCTGGATAGAGTAGAACAATGTGGAACACAAAACTCAAATCATAAAAAAAAAAAAAAGGACCAGGTTTGCTGATCTAATAGAGCCTGGTGGAACCCCTGAGACTATGGCCCCTAGCTGCCCTTCAGGTCTGGAATAGAACCCACTCCTGTGGCTTCCAGCCAAACAGAAGACAGGTACACTAGCTGAACATTTATATTAGGTAAACACACTCCTTGGAGAGATCAATCATGGGAGAACAGAAGGGCTGTGCACATACAGGAAGACAGCTTGGGGGGCAGGAGTACATGGGAGGGAAAGACACAGGGAAGAGGTGGCCATGGGGAGGAAGTGGGAGGAGAGCTGTTGCACTGTGGGAGATTACAGTGAATGTCACGAGACAAAGTATATGTGACCTGTTGTATGGAAGATGTATTTGCTCTGTAAACTTTCACCCAAATCACAATAAAATTAAATGTGTATATGTGTGTGTGAGTGTGTGTGTGTGTGTAAGCATCCTAACTCCTATGCTTATAGATGTAATCCCTTTGGGGAATAGGATTTTCTTTGTTCTATTCATAAGGCCACATCAGTGTAGAGTGTGTCCTTAAATCTAATCATTTCTGAGTTATAAAAAGTTATAAAAAGAGCAGATTAGATATAGAAGCAAACACAAACAAAAGATAGATGCCATGTGAAGATTGCCAAGGAGCCAAGAATCCTGGGGTTACAAAAGCTGAAACATACATGGATCCAGAGCCAACATGGACCTACAGCCAACATGGCAAGACCCTTGCCCTAGAGCCCTGAATTTGAATTTCTAGCCTTCTGAACTGTGAGAAAGTAAATTTCTGTACTTTAAAGCCACCCACTTGTGGTATTTCTGTTATAGCAGCACTAGGAAACCAAGGCACTCTCTCTATCCCCCAAATATGAGAAAAGGCAGCAAATTTAATGAGATGGGAAACAGAGTTTTGAAAGAAACTTTTCTTTCTTATCTCCTTGAACGAGGTTATGTTGGCACTTCATGAGTTGCTCCTCCCCTCCCCCTGCCCCACACTTGATCAGCTGAAAAATTAAGGAGTTAAGTTGAGGAAGGGCATAGCAAATTAGGTAGTAATTGGTATAAGAAATAGAAGGATACGTCACCTGGTCCCATTCTCCAACATGTAGCTTGTTAGACGGTAAATATTAGTGGACCAGAATGCCATATCATCCAATCCTCCAAGGAAATACTCCTGGAATTGTTCTACCAAAAATGGGGACTTTCTAGAATAACTAGGATAGAGCTATGGCAGAGAGAAAGAGAAATAAATAAATACAGAGCTATTCCTGGTATCTGTCCAGTCCTTCAGACCGAAAGCAGAGCGTTTGTTTTACCTTAGAGACAGCTAACATTTCACCATACCTGCAACATAAACAATAATTGTCACTGTGAGTTATGGTTTCTACTGAGAAAGGAAGGAAATATTAAAGCAAAAGTTCTATCAACATGTATCTACAATATGCAACTGCCTTTGAATAAGTAAAATCCTTATATGATATACTCACATAAGCTTGGAATATGGAAAAGTGTGAAGTCATAAAAAAAATCAGTAGAAAATTTCCCCCTGGATTATACTTACATTTCTAAGAACTGAAGATATGAACAGTCAACAATTACATTTTCAGTGATGATATTTCGGCTATAGAGTTTCTGATAAATTCCCAATAGATCTTTGGTGGGCACATACCTGAGAAATGGGTTAGAATAAAATAAGTTGTATTCATTATGAAGTTGAAGATAATAATAATAGCAACAGCAGCTAACAGTTATTCCATGATTATTACATGCTGAAAATCTTGCAAGGCTCTTTATATGCACTATTTATTTAATCCTACCAATGATCCTTAGTGCTATCATATTCCCACTGTATATAAGAAGAAACTGAAGCTCAGAAAAGTTACATAATTTGCTCAATGACACAGAGCAAGCAACTGAACTTTAATTAAATATTTATGAAGGTACATTCAAAGACAGGAAGCTAACTATAAAATACAAACCAAACCAAACCCATTGTCATTGAGTGGATTCCGACTCATAGTGATACCATAGGACAGAGTAGAACTGCCCCACAGGGTCTCCTAGGCTTTAAATCTTTAAGGAAGCAGACTGGCACATCTTTCTCCCACTGTACAGTGGTGGGTTTGATAATAATAGGTTAGCAGGTGAGTGCTTAACCACTGTACCACCAGGGCTTCTTGTGAAGTTCAAAATGGGCATTTAATTTGTGTGAATTCAGAGTTCAAAGAGTGATATAAAGGATCATTTATTCTTTTGAGTTCTATTATCCTCAAGAATCATTACTTTGAGTTGTCAGTGAAAGCAAACATGGGTATAGGGACGGATAGATGGGTGAACAAGCTAAACAATTAGGTATGTCTAAATGGAGAGTGTATCCAA